TTCTGATGAAATTGCATTTGCTATCTTCTCTACAAAATAGAAGTATTAAATATGATTTCCTGAAATTGGATATTAAAAAGATGTATCGATATTTTTATCCAATTATCAGCTGTTACGATCTAAATAAATTCGTTTATTGAATGCCTAATGAATGAGGAAGATTCGACTGGAAGATTGCACAATCAACAGGCTAACTGAATTCGTATTCACATTCGTATTGGAAACTTGGTTCGCTGCGCAACAGTGTTTAAGAGTCGGAACGAAAGTTGCCGCGTTTACAAAATCGAAACGTTATTTGCGAACAAGTTCCCGGCGAACGGTACGACATGCTTTTTTATTAATCCAGTGATAAGGTTTTTAATTAATAGCTCGAACGCGAGGACATTCAACTCTGTTCCTTTTTACTCTTAAATCTCGTACAACCAGTTCTTGGAAAAGAATAACCCGGCGTCCCGCGCTTATCACGATTCCCATGATCGATCACGCATGCGAATTTCTTTTCTCATTGTCGGACTACCAAAACGCGTGAAAAGTAAAACGTCGGCTAATTAACGCGCTTTCATCGCGATATTAAGTTTCACTCGCAGAAAGGACACATTAATTGCCGCGGGATAGTTTCTGGACGGTTCGTGATCACGACAATTGGCTCGTGGCGGGATGCTACAACAGTTCTAACGCCTGGCCACGGATTCCCATTGAGAGGCTCGCGTTTTCCTTTCTATGTCAAAGAAATCGCCGAGCCTCGACGACGACGTTCCCGCGCCTCGAGGCGTATATACCATCGCTGCGACGCGGTGGCGAAACAACGATGTGAAAGCAGATTGGAACAGACCTCGATGGTCCTTCTCCCCACTTTCGGCTCTTTCTTCTTTTTCTTCTTTCGTTCCTTAATGCACGTGACAAGCGATTAAGGACTGTACGCCCGTTATGCGGTGCCGTTCATTTACATGTACTCACGATCTACCTTGCTCGCGGTCATTATTTCCGCCGCCTGCGCAGGTTGAACCTACTCACGTTCACCTGTTGACTAATTGTCTATCGAAACTCGCACCTTTAGCGTTAACAGAATTTTTAGTTCTGAAGAAAATCGAATCGAGTGTCAAGATATTTAAAGTGTCTCTGATACTCTGCCAATTTTGTCAAAGAAGAATGAGCATGCAATTCACTATTTTGTAATTTTTGTTAGGAACTATTCGAACCCAAAGTCATTATTACCTGATGAATTTAACGCAAATGTTGCCGCAGCAATGTACTGATTTATAAATCGATAATTTAAGAAAGTGAACGCGGTTTGTGCAAAGTACCAACGCAATCTGTTTAGAAATGAGCATTAAAGTGGGTAGAAAAAGAAAGGAAGGCGTATGATTCATCAATTAAGAGCTGTGCTATTTAACTACATTAAAATTCCATTTTCTCTACTTCGATCTACATGCTCATAAGCAACAAAGAGATCTATAAAAATCGGTCTACGAAAACAGTAAAAATTATGACAAAATTTATGTAACGTCTGCGACATTGCTCGTCAACACATTCCAAAGGAAGAATAGTGCGGGAGGCATAGGCGTCCTTCAAGGTTAAGAAGATCTCGCAACCTGCAAGCATTCACAGCTAGATCATTGTGATAGAGGCAACGTGGGACGCGGAATTTCTCAAGTTGCCTGCTGAAGCTTAAAGATATTCTCGACAGACGCCAATGAAACATGAATAGAGACACTATTTTTAGTCTAGTGTCAACACTATTTTTACTTTTCAATATATATGTATAATGATCGAATTTATATGCTAGGAAATGGCATGAAATAAGTTTCTGCCTGCGTTTACAGTTAAGCTTCACTAGCACGTTCGTTGATAACTTATGGGAGTATTAGCGGTACAAAGATACGACGCCCTTGATTTTAGCTAGCAAGGTGGGAAAGACCGACTTGTCCCTCAGCGAAACGAAGCCCGTTAGGCTGGTGACGCTAATTGTTCCAACAGAATATAAAATAGTCGGACAGGTCAGAGAACAGGTGACGGTACCACTCTGTCCGAGAAATGTATACAGAACAAAACATTTGAGAAACTAAACTGATACGAAATCAATGTCCTGACAATCGAAAGTCTTGCACATATTAATTAACGAAGATCCTTGTACATACAATGAATGTAATAACAATGTATAAATCAAGCGACAAATTAGTAGTTGACAGAATACAATGACACGTAAATAAAGCAATGAATCACAATCGAAAGTCTTGCACGTATTAGTACATATGGTATAATTAAGAAGATCTTGATGGTCGTGAAACAGAGAAAACACTTTGTCAGTTGTTTGTTGGAAAATCAGGATCAATGGAGACACGCATGAGAATCAAGTGCGTTAAGCTATCATTGCAGATAATACGACATGTACGTACGTACGCGTGGAAACATTTTCTGGTTTCGCGTGCGATTCATAGTCGAAGATTTCCCGCGCGATCTCGCAAGACTTATTACACTTTCTACGAGATGCTGTATCATAACTTTCTATGAAATTGGTCTGTTGAAAATATCCTGGAAATTGGTTGTGACGTGGCTTCGTATCCTTATAAGGGAGAGACAAGGATGACGCAAGGAAACATTTCTGATTGCAAACGTCACGACGCGACGGGACGCTTGCATATGATTCGATACGCAACGTTTGAACATTGTTTTTTGCATCATGCGAAGTCACCTGTTGTAATATGGATTAATAAAACGAGGTCCTTAGGAATCTAGCACACTCGAACCGGTATGGGTACTATGCACATAGTAATTAACGGTAAATTAAAGTAACGCTGTTGCCCTGCTTAATATAACTAATAACATATTTCATCGTGAGGTCTCTGGGGCAAATATTTCTATATAAGTCTTCATCAAGTTTACCTAAGAATTCTGAACCTTCGGTATCAATCGGAAACAGAAGCATCGTTTTTGTTCTGATATTACATGCGAGAGGAGCGAAGGTAAAGGGAAACGGCTTGAATGTAAGAAAGGAAAACTAGAAACTCGTTTCCATGTCGGGGAATGGCTGTAAAAGGATTCTTATACTTAGCCGGCGTTGCAGAAGAACGGTTCTGGCGTCCGTCCGGGACTGTCATAAGATCTGAAATTACATTTAATTTCGAGGGCGGTATGCGCGGCACATCCTCCTCGATCGCAAGAAAGTACGGAACTCGAGCCGACACGGTTGAGTACACGCGCGCTCTCTAAGTCTTCTTCTAGGATCGCGCAGGTTCGTTTCTTCAGGAAGTGACCGGCCGGATAGATAAACCCGCGCTCGAACATTTTTCCAACACGATTTCCTTTCCTTCCGCAATTTCCTTCGACTGATACTTGGTTCAGCCTCGGTTCGCCTACGTAACTTCCGACGAAAATTCAGTCTGCATCGTGTGATTCTCTCGCAACGCAACTAGACATGTACGTGACTGTCGGTTCCCTGAACCAAACGAACGTTCAATGTCCTAAACGATGATTGTCGAGTTTCCTATTTGAGATGCCTGATTAAGGAAGTATTGGCTATATAGTCAATCCCAAAAGTTTATGTATCTTAGAAAAACGCATTTCCTATAATTAAAAAGAAATCAGACGTCGGAAGAACAATACTAATAATAAA